GGAAAAGGAGGAAGAAATAAGGAAAATGAAGAAAAATCTCAAGAAGTCATTAATTGTCATAGTTTGAGATCAAACCAAGTGTGATACACTTAGTTTAATCTTAAGGAAAAGCCATGGCTATAAATATGTTCAAGGTTACACCAAAGAGAGAGTAAGAAAAATCAAGTGAAAAATTACCAAACCAATACTTTAAACCACCATAGAAACCCTTTAAATACCCAAAAACTACCTTAGAATCAGTTTAGAAGGTAAAATGAAGGAGGAGGAAAATTCTTCATTTTGGTCGCAATTTGGAGGTCAAAGGAGGAGAAAGAAATCTAAGGAGAAAAGGAGGATGATTGATCAACCTTTAAGTGAGGTAAGTGTAATCCTCACTACACTATAAGTAACTTATGTTATGAGGTTTAATTGATGAGAATTTGATGTTTAAATAAGTGTGGCTTTATGGTAAATGTGTTGGAGTTATGGTGTTGTTGCTTGAGATGGATGATCTTGATGTTATAATTGTGTTTATAGTATTGAAACTGCTATTTTTTGTTGGTTGATTGTAAGAGAAACATAAAATTTAGTGATGTTCTTGTTTTAGAACAAGATGGCTTGAAACCCTAGTTTATGAGGAAATTTATGGTTTAGGTGGTTAATGGATTCAAAGTGTTTGATGACATGATTTAGGAGTGTTTTATGGTGTTGAATTGAAAAATTGAAGTCTCGGTAACTTTGATGACCATTTCAACCTAAAGTAAAGATTTGGGTTGATTGTTGTACTTGGCCTAATTGATGTGTGAATGATGAACAAATGATTGATTAAGGGATTAGATAAGAAAATTTTAGCCAAAATGATCAAATGGAAGTTAGTCTTCCATTTGGTAACATTTAGCATAGGTGAAGGAATAAGGGAAAAAAAGTTAACTTAAAATTAAATGATGTTTTTAAATTTTAGACGGTTGAAATGGCATGAAAAATGGCTAATCATATGTTGAAAATAATTTAGTTGAATTGTTCGAATAATTAGGCCATAATGAGCTTTTAAGGAATTGATGATGTTTATGGATGCTTCATAGTTTTTATGTCTACTTTGTTAATTTAGAATATATAAATGATTGTCTCGTTTATGTTACATGTTCTTTAGATATTCAATATACATGCTTTAGTTTAATTAGTACATGTTATATTTGAAATGTTATTTATATGTATTTTATTATGTTAAGGATGCTTGATAGAGGAGAAGATAAAAAAAGTTAAAGGAATGTATTTTATTCAAATGCATTTGCATATCATGACCATAAAAAAGATTTTAGTTTATAGTTTTGAGGAAAAGGAAAAGGACATGTTTTCAAAGAAAATGCTAGACACTTTTAAGAGAAAAATGACAAAGGAAATGGCATTATTATGCGGGAGGGGTGATCAACCTCTCGTGAGGAAGAGAGAAAGGATTCTTTATGAATGAGAAGAATGAGAAATACCAATTACATTGTTTTTTCCTAAAGAGAAGAAGGAGGAAAAGAGAAGGTGTCTAGAGCTTTTTATGAGTTTTCACAAATCGTATGTTTTAAACTAAGGCTGATTATATACACAATCGACACAATGCGCCTAAGTAGGAAAATGGATTTCAAAAAGCACGAAAATGATTTTTAAATGCATCATGTGCATTACATGTATAAAATACATTCCATGCATTGGATGGATTACATTTGCTAAGCAACACTCACATAGTTTCTTGTGGTGTAGGTGATAAAAAGATTAGTTGATAACTATCACCGAAAAGGAGGATCGACTTGCCATAAAGTGTGCTTAATAATTAATAAGGGGTGAGGGAACTTTTCCTTTGCCCTTGGAATGTTTTAGACTTAGATATTAGTGCTAAGATAAGCACTCTTGATATGTAAATAATGGTATAATTACTTTAAATATTGGATGCTATGTGTGTGATTAGAATTGTCCAATTAAGTAACTTAATGAATTAAATAGTTACTTAATTAATTGACTTGGATTAAATAGACTAAAAGATTAAGTAAAAGAATTAAATTGAGGTTAATTGGAATCATTAATTATGTGGTTAGGTTGAATTAATGGTTAAAAATTTAATGATATGAAGTATGGAATTAAATTTGTGAGGATATAATGGTTTTAATGGTTAATTGATCAAATAAATTTTAATAGATAGGGAACAAATGAATTAGTTTAATTGGTAAGTTTAAATTATTTGGAACCAAAGTTCCATAGGCCCAAAAGTTATTTTGTATGGCCAATCCTCTAATTGAAGTCTAATTGAAGTCTAATTGAATTTATTTAGTGTTCAATTGAATTAATTAATTGAATTTCTAAGCTAGGAAATTTTGTTAAATGTAATAGTATTAAATCAATATTTAATGTTTTGATACTTAATGATTATTTTCTAATTAAACTAATTGAATTATATAATTCAATTAGTTTTGAAGGAAAATATTAGAAATTTATTCTATTGAATTAATTAGATTATTTTTATATTGATTATTTTTAATTAAAATCTGAATTTTTAAAAGGAATTTGGGAAAAATAAAAGACCTTGTTCATTTTAGTTGAGTATACGGTATTTTTTTAATGATTAAATTGGATTCAAAGAATATGAGTTTTTTTACCTAATTTTGACATTAAATATTTTTATACGTGATGTAGCAATATTAATTGGAGTTGGAGGAATTTGTGAAAACTCTATACCTAACTTTTAATTAATTTGGACTTATTATTTTCTTAATTATTTGGGACCCTTGCCGAAAATCTTCGTTTGCTAGTAATTTTGAAATGCTAAAGAAAGAGGCTTGTTGGCTTGCAATTATTATGCCTAGAATGTGAGCCATCGCTGGTAATACTCCTTACCAATCTAGGTCCTAGTTGAGGGTGTTATAAATTTTATCTTTTTAAATTTATTGAGTTTTCAATCTATTATTTTATTAATATTTTTTATCCAAATTAACATGCACATGACTTAATATTATACCAAAAATGACAAACTCTAAATAGGATGAAGAGGCGCAGTGAGGGGAGAGAGAGAGAGACAGAGGTTTGGTCTCATTGATATTTTTTTTTTTAAGAAAAAAATTCTTCTACTTACCACATGTTTTATACATGACTAACATGTTCACATAATTCAATATCATTTTTAATATAATATTAAGTCACATGCATGATTGATTTAGTTAATTAGGATAAAAAAAATTAACGTAATGATTGTCTGAAAACTTTGTTATTTTGATAATTAAGGATAAAATTAGTCTAATTAAGGATATAATGATAGATTAAAAACTAATCTCATTATATAAAGATAAACTGAATTATTTTTTAAAAGAAAAAAAGAAAATTTGAATAAGGACAAGAAAAAAGGAAACAAAAATCCTTTAAACGAAAAAAGTCAATAAAATAAAATATAATAAAAAACAAAAACCAGGTGCCCAAAACATCAAATTTAAGCTAAAGAACTCAAACGAGCCTGCCCTTGAACTAAAGCAAACATACGATTTACAGCCCAGGCCTGCGGTCCAAAAACAGAAAAATGTAAATCCCGGCTGGTTTAACTAGACGAACTTCTTTAAAAATAGACGGCGTGTCCTTCAGCACTAGCTTATCCAACCCGTCTTCCCTGTAACAAGGAAGTTGTCACCGTCCAACTCCACTATCCTAACAACATCCTTTTTGAAATCCAAACCTATTAAAGTTCGTTCAAAATTTTATTTTTAAATGATGCTTTTAGATCGATTTGTCTGGTTAGAAAGAGCCATCTCTTTGTTTGCGCTTCAAGTTTTCGGATTGTTTAACAAATGCAGTTGTTAAGCCCATCGCTGACCTGCCCACTCTGCATTTTCTCTAATATTAGTACATATAAAACTACTAACTTTAAAAAGTTGTTCTAATGATTATTTTTTTTCTTTTTTAAGATAATTAAGTTCAAATAAATTCATTTGAATACATCATATTCTGTGAAAGTGTTCTTTTAAAATTATCTATAAACAAATTTAGTCTCGATTAGTAAACATACTAATAGGAAAATAACTATATCATAAAAAACAAAAATATACAATCCAATCAACCCTACTTTCCTGTATTGATAGCATGCAGTATGAATTGATTCCATTCCCAGTTCATCAAGTTATTCTACTAGGATATTAACCTGCAATTTGATTTTCTTTTCTTTTAATTTTCATAAAAAAAAAAAAATTGTAATCGAATATGTTCTGTGCTCCAACTCGATAGGAGCATATTATTTATGATTCCTAAATGAGGAGTTAATTACCTGTAAAATGTTATACACATAAACAAATCATATTTAAACTGTCAACCATATAAAGTATTACATAAAATAAAACGGTAAAATATGAATTTCATAAATATGAAATGATTTAGAATGGAAAAAGGTAAGAATAATTGCCAAAGAGCAGGTAAAAAACAGACAAGAATGAAGTTTCAAATTGCTCGGCCAAAAAAAAAAAAAATCAAATAGGTAAAATTTCAATCGGCTTGTAGATAATGGAATCAATATTCAATATGTTTTCATATTTTAAAATAAACTAGTTATATTTTTGTACGTTAAATGAGTTTTCAACCTATATTTCTAGTAAATTTTTTAAATAAAAAAAATCATGTAACTTATACATGATTAATTTTTTTCTTTTCGAAACTGCCACTCAATTGGATGTGTGCAAATCATCTTATTTTTAGAGGTATTTTTGTAAAACAAATAATAATAATAATAATCATGTGCAAGTTATCCAATTTTTTTTGGTGGCATGAACGAAAAAATTCACCTACTTAAAATACTAATTTTATTATATAAAAACAGTATGGAACATTTTTTGAAATTTTAAATTAGTCTAGAAATACCAAAACAGCATGAGTATTCATATGACATAGACATGACATAGACATATATATATATATATATATATATATATATATATAGTTTAGGAGCAACTCCACCAATTACTGAATCGAACATCACAATATTCTAACCCCTTTCACTGTGGAATATGTGTAAGCGTACAGGTGCAAGTGGCAATTGTTACTGTCTTGTCATGGTCATTGGTTATTGTTTTTGGTTGAGTTGAAGAAATTACACTTAAAACGTGATAGAAATGGCTATCCTCGTAATTTGTTAAAAAAAAAATGTATATTAGTAATGATAATAATAATAAAACTACAAATTAGGAAGTGGAATCGATCACACATATAATTAACCTAATTTTGGACCTACCATCTCCATCCATCTTTCAACTTGTGGATTGTCGAACAGAATGCTATTCCCCTAAATATTCGACCCATTTTGCACCTTGGCAACGAGCTATATATAAATTTATACATACACGCAAATGGAAATAATTAAGAAACGTCATACAACTGTTGCGACAAGGATGATGATAATGACAGCAACAATGAATCGGTGGCAATGGTACTCGGGATACTATTGCAAGCAATATACAAGCTGGGCGCCTAATATTTCTTGGACAAAAAGTTGCTACGTACAACGGATATCAATAGGTGAGTGATTTTTCGAGTGGAATGAGATCAAATATACCAGATATATATTATTTGTTGTATTGTTGTATAGGTAATTTGTTGAAGGAGGGTACGGTACTTAATTGGAAAACGTCAACTGCTGGGCTCAAATCCTCGGCCCTGCCATCTCTTGGAGATAGTTATGTGAGAAAAAATATAACTATTGGAATAATTCATGTTGTGTCGCCAGATATCTCATCACCTTCACATTCACCATCACCAGGCTTTGAAGTGGAATTTCTTGATGCATTTGATGATGAATATGATGGAGTCATTATTGATCCTAACAGATTACCTTCCAGTGCTAAAGCTTTTGCCTCTGCACTCCGAGCTTCTTTGTCCAATTGGAAGTTGAAGGTTTGACGACATACATCTACACGTTACTTAACATATAGATAGCAACCTTTTTCGCGCTCTCACACTACGTACTATCCAAATCTACTATTATATTATACTATGATGAAGTTGTTTTTATCAAAAAAAAAAAAAAAAGCACTGAAAAATGATCAGAATTTATGTCGCATTAATGCAGGAGAGAAAGGGAATATGGCTCAAAATACTGTTGGAACAAGCTGATCTTGTTCCAATAGCGATTCAGGTAATAATTAATTAATTTAAATTTTAAATACTGCTACTAGTACTCCATATATATATATAAGCTGATCAATATTACTTGCTTTAAATACGATGGTTTGTCAGGAGGGTTTTGAGTACCACCATGCCGAACCAGGATATGTTATGCTGACTTATTGGATTCCTGATTATCCCTGCATGCTCCCCACCAGCCCTTCTCATCAAATTGGTGTTGGAGGATTTGTGATTAATGACAAAAGAGAGGTATATACTTATGTATGCAAGTATCTGATTTCAGGACTATTATTAATTACTAGTTTATTTTTTAAAGTAATATATATTTTCATGAGGTGAAGTATTTTATTTTTATCCGTAGAATATATTTTCATGTTGTTCTTCACATGGAACTTAATGAACAACACTGTTAGGTCCTAGCTGTGAAAGAAAAATGTCCTTGTAGTTGCTCTAATGTGTGGAAGATGCCTACTGGATATATTAACAAGGTGATACTTCGCAGTCACTTCACTTGAATGCTTTTTACTGCTGCAATGCATGCCTGAGTGCCAATAATAACATATATGGTTTCTGTTTCTTTTAATTCATCTCTCAGTCAGAAGATATATTCTACGGAGCAATAAGAGAAGTGAAAGAAGAAACCGGTGTAAGCATATATATATATATATATATATTATCTTTCTTTTCATCTTACATCATGAGTAGAGCTTGCTTGTTTCTTAATAATATTAGTTGTCATCTAGCTGCTCTGTTTCTGCAGGTTGACACCAGTTTCCTTAAGATGGTTGCGTTCAGGTATGTTGATTTTGATTTTTTGATTTTTTCTTTTAATGGAATTGCATACTAGGCACGCATAAGTACTTGATTTCCCAAGGTTCGTATAAAAAGACAGAGGAAGATACCTCGAAACTCCGCCCTTTTTTTTAGTAGTACACTAATCAGTTCTTGTGCTGCTACGCTCCGAAATGTACCTAATTAAATCATTTTATAATTTTATAATTTGTTAATTACACTTTTATATTTAATTGATTTTTTAAAATATTTTCACAAATTTTTATTTCAAAAACATAATTTTTTATTTTCTTTATACATTGATTCTTAAATAAAAAAATTTATAATAATTTAAACTAAAATATTAGTTTAAATTTAAAAAACAATACTTTAAAAATATAATTTTTTTATAAGATTGTATCTAAAAAATAAAGATAAAATCAATATATAGACTTGTACGAAAATTAACAAAAAAAATAAATAATTTTTTTTATTTATTTGGTGTTTTTTAATAAAAATTCAAACTTAAAATATTAAAATTATTTTTAAATTCCAATCTATCTCGACTAACTATTTCATATTTTATGACTATTATAAACAAATTTTATTATTCATTAAACACAAACAAATAGATAGTTAGTTTAATGGTTGAGGTGCTCGGAAAGAGCATCGTCATGCCCCCTCCTCTCTCTCTCTCTCATCCTTTTTTTTTTTTTTTTGTTTCTCTCTACTCTAATCATTTAGAAATATTGTAATATAAATAAGGTCTAGGATCAAATTTTTTTATGAAATAATAAAAGACAAAAAATGCGAAAAGGTCAATAAAGAGTAAAAATTCATAGTAAAATTGAGTGTGAATGAACAATGCGAATAAGTATTGAGGCATGGGAAAATGAATAGGAAAAGCACAAAATTTATCATTTTGTTTCAATGTTTTAGTTAATGTTTTGTGCCTTTGAATTAATGCTAATTCATTAACTAACAAAGTCAATTGACAGACATGCTCACCTTTTCGCCTTCGACAAATCAGACATACTCTTTATGTGCATGCTTAGACCATTATCATATGAAATCACAATCGATGAGAAAGAAATCCAAGCTGCCATGGTTGGTATTTAATTGTAAGAGTTACATATAATAATAATAATTATTATTTTAAGAAACTGGTCTACGTTGAGCTAACATTTTATTTTTATTATTATTATTATTATTATTATTTTTTATTAGTGGATGCCACTTGATGAATTTTTGGGACAACCATTTTATGAGGAAGACCATATGTCAAAAAAACTTTTTGAAGCCTGTATTGCAGCATATGAAGATCATTATAATGGGTTCATTGCTCATCAGTTGACCTCAAAACTTGATGGAATATCATCCTACTTGTATTATGATAATAGTTCTATAACACACCGTTAACTTATATTTAATGTGTAATGAATATAATCCAATAAGACACTATGTCTTTTATATGGTATTACTAGGTATGGAATTAGCTACGGAAGCCTAACATTAATGGATAAGTCCTAAATTTCATCCCAAAATTCACTATAATTTTTTTTTACATTTTAGCATTTTATTGAAACTCCTTGGACTAAATGGATTGGATCTATGATGCTTGGTTTTTCTCAAATTTCATTTCTATTAGCTCATACAAATTTATTTAATTGTTACTCGTTATTTGATATTTAATTTCCTTTATCCTCATTAATTGACATTTATTATTGTTACTTTCCCTATTTTTTTAGTGATCGTATTTTATTATTGACGTTAGCATGTAAATAAATGATTAATGAAATCTAATACTACTTGCTACTCGTACTACTCATTTTTACTTATATGTCTAGGCTTCGGCTACCATACAAATTACCTTATATTTTACATATACCAATTCTATGTCACATACTATAAAAATAGCTTATTTACTACATCTATTTCTTTTCCGACCAGCTACTCATTTGTTCATGGTCTTGACTATCAAGTGAAATAGCAATGTCATTCCAGATATGTAAACCAAAATACGGAGTACTAGTATAACTATCGTTTGAAAAAGGTCCACCTTGCACCCGCACCTAAGATACATGTGACGTATCGATCCCTTGATAGTCGGCTCAAACATGAACATTGCAATCTTTACGTTTAGTACCTACACCATAGGAACTTGTTGAGCGATTGCTCGGTAATTTAATTCATGTATGACATGCATGTAAATGAAATGCATACAATAATTATTTGTATGTTCTTTGAAAAAATCCATTTTCATGTCATAAAATTCTAATCATGATCAATATGAAAAATCTTTTATATCTTTAGATATATTTCATCTTTGGACCTTAGGATTTCCATGATTTGTCTAGAGAACTAGACCGGTCTACGGACCCATCTTGTCGAGTCTTTGAAAGTGCATGTCCGCACCCACTCAACCCTAAACTTTGAATCATGAAATTCATGGAAAACCGAGTAAAGTCCTTTCCATAAAATCATGAAAACCATCACCATAAAAGTCACGAAAAACCTTATGAACCATGAAATATTTTTCAATTGCTATTGGAAAACCTTTAAAGGAAAATCCTTTTTCATGACTTAAAACCTTTCCAAAAAAAGCCTTTTCATGAATTGGCATGCATACGCATTTTAATGTAAATGCATAATTATCATGTTCCGTATAGTGCATGCCATGAATATTGTGCATTTATGCCATAACAATTCACATCTCAATACTATAAATGCATTATCATAACCACACCTTGCAGTGCCAATCAAAATCATTCCAAATCATGAAACCATTAACTTAAACGCCATATAACCACACATTGGAAATAAACATAAGGCATCACACTTCTTTAATCATCAAATTCACAACTTCCACACATAATAATCACATAATTCAATTCAATAGTAACATGTAAACCATGTAACAATCATAATACATAAAATGAACCATAAACTTAATTTTTTTCCTTAACATGACCGAATGTGTCACTAACATAGGCTAGGTAAATTTTTCGATTTCAATGTTGATTTGCATGTTAAATAAACTAAATGAACTTTAATAACATAGAATGAACCAATCAACCTTCCATAAATTCAATGCACTAAAACCTAATTTGGGCCAATAGAGCTGAAATTATACCTTGGCTAAACTAGGTTAATTTTTTAGTTTCAACAAAATCTCTCATTCTTAATCATCTTTTATCCTATATTAATTGGAAATTAATCAATTAAACCATTAGAAATCAAAAGCATTATAACCCTAATTTTTCCTAAATTAGGGGCAAAATGGGCTTAGTTAGGGTAACCAGGTGAAATTTTAATTTTTATGTAATTTCTCATGATAAATCAACTATTCATACTTGAATAACACATAATCAAACAAGAATTCATCAATCAAACTAATGAATCAAAAACCCTAAATTTGTCAATTTGAGCCAAATACTCCATAAAGAATCAAGGTAAGAAATTCTTGTGTCTAACACATGTTTTCATGCTCAATTAATGTATTCTAACTTCAATTACATGAAATTTTAAGTAAAAATCATTTTCTCCAATTTTTCCTAACTAAGAACCCTAAACCTAATTTTCAAAATTAATTTAATTAAATAAAAATTAACGAGTTCCAAATTAACAATTGACATTAATTAACACATCCTTATGGTGTAAGTGAGATTAAATGACCTCTAAAGCTCTAATTAAACCTTTGAAAGATTGATTTTCTTGGAGAATCCTTCCTTTCTTTTTTCCTTCAAAAGTTTCGGCCAAGTCTCTAAATTTTTCTCCTTGGGATTTTTTATTTTCTCACTTGAATTATATGCTTAATAAGGTTTTTGGGTGATTAAAAGTGTTTAGATAAGATTTTAGGTGGAGTTCTATAGAATTTTTGCAAGAGTTCTCCCTATATTTTCGAATTTTCCTTCATCTTTTCACCCATATTTATAGGTAAGCTTGGTTGAAATTGTTTCTTGTTTGACTTGATCTCCACCCTTCATTTGGTTTAATCCTAGCCCTTGATTTTACTTATAAACCCTTAATTTGTTTTAAATCTTAGGCATTCATTCTTCCTTTAATTATTAACCTATCATCCGACCATCTAAACTTAATCCTATTCCTCCATTTGTGCAATTGATTAAATACACCCTAATAACTAAGGGAGAATGATGGCAAAGAGGGGAAGAAAATCTCTCCCAAAGTTATTTAGTTTTAGTCTATTAATTTAGTAAATTTCTTACAATTACTCTTCCATAAGTCCTTTAATTATTCAATTGATTCCTTTAGGCCATTCATTTAACAATTTTTTAACAACTTTTCACTTCTTAAAGTTCATTACTAATTTAATTTAAAAGTTTAAACTTTTAATTTTATGCAATTAGGTCTTATCTATGAAAATTTTATTTTACGCCTTTCTAAAAATTAATTCTTCCCATAATAAATTCAAACAACTTCTATAAGAATTTATTCATCATTCACAAAATTTTTATATGCATATCTAAGCCTTCAAACTAATCACTTTGTATAGAAATAAACTTATTCCTACAAATAATATTTCTTATGCATAGAAAAATTCACCTAAGTGCATGGAATATTCATACACCTCCTTAGTGATTTTTCTATGCCCTTTGGATAATTTTCAAGCACATTTAAAGTACTTAAAATAATGAATTTGCCCAAGAAACACTATTCATGCATTGTGAAGTTCTAATAAAATAATCACCGAACATTAGTTCACCGAGTGGCACATAATAATCTAGCACCCTTCTTAAAAATATTTTAGACAAACATAATATTTTTCATGCACATTTAAAATGCTCAAAACAATTATCCCGCATAAAAGTTATTATTCAAGCATCGAAAAACCCATAAACTATACCCTAGGTACGGGAAAATTATCCTAAGCACATAAAATATTCTAGCTTCCTCTTAGCAACCATCCTATGCCTATAAAATAGTTTTCTTACATCTTTAATTGATTTTTAATTCATTTAATAATGGGTTTCGGATATTACACCCTCCCTTCCTCATAAAAAAATTGTTCCTCAAAATTTTAGTTAAACAACTCGAGATATTGAGCTTGCATCTCCACTTCTCTTTCTCAAGTTGCTTCCTCAACTTCATGATTTCACCATAATACTTTTACTAATTGGATTTCTTTATTTCGTAATTTTTAAGCTTTTGATCCAACACTTGCACCTGGTTTTTCTTCATAACTCATGTTGGCTTGGAGGTCTAGTGGCTCATTACACAATACATGACTCGAATCTTCAATGTACTTTTGAAGCATAGACATGTGAAACTTGTTATGAATTAAAGAGAGAGAAGGTGGTAATGATAATCTATAAGATCTCGTCACCTATTCTCTCTAATATTTAATATGGTCCAATATACCTCAAACTTAACTTTTCTTTTCTTCGAAACATCATCACACCTTTTATGGGAACCACTTTCAAAAATGCTGGTTGGAATTCCAATTCTTTTCTCCGCACGTCCGCATAACTTTTCTCTCGGCTTTAGGCCATTTTCATCCTTTCTCTAATTTGTTTCACAACATTAGCCATTTGCTAGATTAATTCTGGTCCTAGCAATTTTTATTTTCCTACATCATCTCAATGTACTATTGATTGACATTTCCTTCCATACAAGGCTTCGGATAGTGCCATGCCAATACATGGTTGATAACTATTATTATAAGTGAATTCAACCAATGATAAGTGTCTTTCCTAACTTTCAAATCAATCTAGCATACATGCACATAACATATCTTCCAAAATTTGATTAACATATCTTTCAAAATTTGATTCACCCTGTCGGGGTCTATTCATCGGTTTGAGGGTGAAAGGCAATGCTAAAACTCAATTTGGTTCCAATCACTTCGTGTAAACTTTTTAAAAATAGTGATATGAACCATGGATCTCTATTAGATATGATTGATATTAGGACTCCATGCAATCTTTTGATCTCCTTTAGATACAACTTTGCATGCCGCTGCATGAAACATTTTGACTTGATTGCTAAGAAGTGAGCTAACTTGGTTAATCGGTCGAGGATGACCTATATGCCATTAGCTCTACGTTTTGACCTTGGTAATCCAAATATAAAGTCCATCGATATGTGTTTCCACTTCCATTAGAGAATATCTAACGACCTTAGTAATCCGGAGGGTCTCTAGTATTCAACCTTAATCCGTTGATATGTTAAACACCTTACTATATAGTCCGTAAAGCCATGTTTCATTCCTTTTCACCAATAAATCTTCTTGAGATATCGATACATTTTTGTACCATTAGGGCACATTGTGTAGACCGTGGCATGAGCTTCCTTCAAAATTTCCTTCCGAAGCTCTTTTACATTAGGAACACATAATCTACCTATGTAATGCTAAATACCCTTATCATCCAAGGAAAAATCCATTATTTTCCTTTTAGCTA